CGTGAAATCCAAATATCTGGAGCTTCAAGATATGAAGCTTCCTTGTAAGCTGCGATCCCCTACCCAGAGGGATGTTAGTGCATGCGGCCCTAAGATTTGCAAGAAATTGGAACCCATCTCTCTAATTCGCGTTCTTCTGCACGTCAGGGGTGAGCGCCAGGCACAACACGCTTTGAAATAAGGTTTTGTAAAACAGCATAATTGAATTAACGTTCCAAGTTTATTCCGGCGTCTGATCAGAATGCGGTCTTAACGGAAACACACACTCAAACGGGAGATTGATGCATACCGCATAGATGCATATAAAGGTCTTATACTAATGAGGCCATTATATTGTCGTTTATCGCTAAGGATATGGTGGTGAGCGCTGGTCTGTTTTGTTCTCTGAAATCGAAGTAGTTTTTATTATAATGCCGAAATCTGTTTCTGTACGCTAATAAGATGTTTCGGCGGATAAGTCGCAATGCTTCTGACTTTTTGAGCTCTGAAGAAGGCGTGGACGCCGAAAAAGTCCGCCCACACAGAGTTCATTATCAGTCTTGGTCCAATACTCAAATTAACGTGAGCTCTTATAAGAAATAGTGCTAATTCAAAGTGTATCGGGGACCTTGTACTTATATCTTCGGACACTACACCAAGCCCTCGGAAGAGCGCCTGCAAACGCCAGCTATAGGACTTTGGGTGGAGAAATTCGGTATTTGTTACCTGCGCGCGCATTCAGCTTTCCTAGTGCTCTTTCTCTTGTAAACGCTCCTCTGCTATTAGATGTTCGCTTTGAAGTACGTGCCTTTTAGAAAAACCTTCGTGCCCAGTGGCTGTGTTACTGAGCTTCGTGATCACCAAAGCCTTACGAAGCCTTACAAACTACTTCTGCTTTCAATTTCATCCCCCATCCCGCCCAGCTTTACCCCAACTCTCTCCAATCTCAGTTCTGGAGCTCCACGTACCAGCCACATTAGGGTTGTCCAAATCATATCCATAAGCTTGCTGTCGTCGATTTGATCGATACGCTCTTTGATTCCCTGCAAGCCAATTGATATTCCGCAAAGTGATATTTATTCGATCAAAACCTCCTCACTTTTGGGCTTATACGAATAAATGGTATGTTATATGCCTGACAGCGCTCTTCAGCCATCTCAACAGCTAAGAGGTCTTGTCCTACAACCTAAAATAAGCAACATTTACGAAAGAACGAATACATGTTTGAGTACAAAGTAAGGCACCTGCTCAAGGATGAGAGTGCTCAGATGAGCCATGCTTCTTGCTTTTGCCCTCAATGTAGTCCCACTTTTATACTTTCGTTCCAATTGAGCTGGTTCACCAGTTCCTATTGAAACCACACCCGCTAAGTGGATTCGGTTACTATTCTTGTGAAACGAATCAACTTCCTGAAACTTGGGACTGCAACTCAAACCTTAGATTATCGTCTTGATAGCTGCAAATGGTTT